AGCACAGTGAACCATCCCTGTCCCATTACTTACTCAATTAAGAATAATTACTGAAACTTGAGTTAAAGGAACCTTCTCAAAGTGTTTTAGTCAATCACTCAGCCAGATCAGATTTATCTAAATTTTCTCTAACCTGTTCTGAGAAACATTCAAGGTGTACAGCACCTATCTCCTTCCACTTGCAGAAACCTCAAGTCATTGGTAGGCAAATTTATGATCTCATAAAGGTTGATAGACATCCAAATGGCAGTTCCTCTTGGCTCAGAAACGTTTTCCTGAATTGCTCTCCTCAAGTCTGTCTTGTTAATAAAAAGTCCAAGGCACAGTCAGTCATTCCCGTCACAGTGACCATTTGAGAATGATTACTGAAATTTTGGTTGAAAGAGCCTTTGGAAATGATCTAGCTGTATGCAAAGATTTCAGATTTTCTTTTTTTTTTTTTTTTAAGGAAGGCAGATTCATATGAATTGTACAAAAAAAAAAGCCATCTTTTCTGGAATGTAGCATAAGTAGATATTTCAGACACCACGAGGATAATGGTACTTTTAGAGGGGTGTTCTTTCTGTGGCTGCTTTACAAAACCAAAAACAAAACCAAAAAAAAACCACAGGAAGATGCAAGGGTGATGGAGATTAGTCAGTTCTCAAGACAGACAGTAGGGTGGCAAACTCTGTGGAGCTGCTGGCCAAAGTATCTAGCACAGAAAATGAGTAATTTTCACATTCACATTTTGAGAACCGGTACCACTTTTCTTTGCCTGAGGTGAGGAAATAGGTATGCCGCGCAATATTATGTGGATCAAGTAAGCACTCCTGGTATTTCAAACCAAGCCTGTCTTAATGAGATGATATACAGTGCTCCACTGCTCACTCTTTAATAGTAAACCCCAGTGTTTAAAGGCTGGCTGAAAAGTGACAGGGGTTTCCAAGGGTTGAAGGTGTCTTGTTCTGACAGTGCAAAACTGTGAGTCTCTAGCTGAGGGCAGAGCAATAGGAATACCATTTCTTGACCATATGTTTTAGAAAATAGATTCTGTGCAATATGTTAAGCAGAGCCCACATCATAATGACAAGAAATGCAGAATGACTTTCATAGATATGTTTGAATCAGCTGACAACTACTGAAGTGATCTTAAAATCCACATTGCAATTATGGCTAGAAGTTTAAAATGATAGTAACACCTTTTCAGTAAAATTGAGCTCTCAGGAGAGTGATTTCTCCTGCCTTTGGCTTTTAGTTTGTTCTGTGCATTATAAATCACTCTTCCACAAAACTGTGCATGTAGGATAAACCCTTCTAGTAAATCTCCCCCTTAACTATTGCAGGTCACCACTAGAAAAAATGTGGCATTTGAAGGTATAATGCATAAGGTGTTTTGGTGTCCTGAGTTACGTAATTCTAAACTTGGCTGTGTGGGAAGGAATATGTGGCAACATCAGTTTATTCCTTGAAGAATCCATTTTAAAATGTTTGTACATAGGTTTTTAATCAGCTCCCTCTATTTCAAGAAAATACCCACCAAATATGGAAGGCCGGAGAACCTTCAGGACTTGTCTTCCACAAGCCTCATTCAGCGAAGACCAGTGTGCACTACAGATCCCCCCGATGTTAAGTTTTGTAAGGACTGTTTACTGGGGAATAAAATCTCTCCCCTGTGGCAATAAATGATCAAATGCAAGTGCATTTGTCTCTCTTGGTGCCTCTGGTTTTATAGAAGTGGAGATGGGTTCTTCAGGTGAAAAGGCAATGGCTGACTCTTGAAGAAATACTTGATCACCTAACTGCTTTCTATCCTTCAGTGTAACACTGTGCTTTTGTCTTTTAAAGAGTTTCCTTTCTTCAAAGGCAGGCTAAAGGTGGCAGCTTGCCTTCTCTGGATGTATACCTTAAATCAGAGTGTGCTGGTGGATGAATTTGTCTGACGTACCTGAGAGAATTTACACCCAATGGCTAAAACCCGCTGGCTTCTTTCCTCTCATAGACACAAAGAAATAGCTTTTGTTCAGATACAGCGTGGTAACTCCACAGGAGAATACCTGAATATTTTAAAACACTTCAGCATTTCTTGTGGTTGTCAGAGGTTGGGGAATGGATTCAAGACCAGTTAGTGACTGGCTGTAGCTACGATAGTCCTGCTGCTGAATTATTTTTTTCTGTGTTTCTATTGTCCCAATCTGACACTTGCCTGCAAGTGCCTTTGATTAAGGAGATGAGTGACTTTGCCTGTTCTATTGATCAGAATAAATTACCAGCAGCTAATTTATGGACCTCACAAAAGTGCCTCTGACATGGCGAATTGTGCTCTGTTGTTCAGGTAATTGGGTTGTCAGGAGATGTTATTGGTTACTATACAGTTATCTTTTATAGAATATTGGTCTGTTTCATGGAAATGGACAAAATCTTTTAGACTTCCCAGGACGTCATGAAGGCTGAGTAAGAAGGAAATAAGCATTCTTCTTGATAGTGGTGACTATAGTAAGAACATTTTGGCTGCTATATGTTGATTTCCCATCCCCGATTTCTGTAAAAAAGAAAATTACTTTTCTTGTACTTGCAAGTTCAGGGGGCTTGGTGGTTGCCAGCATTTGCAGATTCAGCTTAAAATGGGGGAAAAACACGCTGCTTAGGACAGTATTCTTGCCAACAGTGACATGCAGAATCTTATAATTGTCTTTTTGATGTCTGAGAAGGATAGAACAAAGCTCACCTTTTTTTCTGAGCATGTTGCAAAGATGACAAAGATAAACTTGGTTCTGTCACACCACTGGAGAACACACAAAACACAGAAACAACAAATGAGCAGCGGGAAGGTGTTTTTACAGCCAGCTTCCACACTTGCAGGCTAAGACATCTGCAAATGCGAGAAAAATATAAACAAAGGATCCTTGTGAGGCTGAAAAATAAAAGCAGCACAGGGGCTTAGGAGCTCACTTTTGGTGTTTGCATGAAGAGCTCCTACCTGAAAAAGTTTGGACTCTTGTTTTCCTTTAATGCTGTGAAAGGGGAATTTTCTAACTGAAATTACAGGAGGCAAAGAAATTTTTTAGCTTAAGATGGAAACAGCAAACAAACAATCCTTTCTGATGATGCCTTCCTCTGGCTGTTTCTGCACATGCTGTGTTTGAATACATATATGTTGGTCATATAGAACAGCATTTTTAACTTATTGTTCATTTCCCCCAAGTGAGAGGCACATGTAAAGAAGGTTTGTTTGCTTTTTTAGTTACTGGATCTTGATCAGTCGGAGGTTTGATAGTAATAGTAGCTGCAGGAAAGTTTAGGTGGTTAGGTGGCTTTTGTGTTTAGCTTTGAACACAGTGAAAATTGGGGCAGCTGTTCTACATGAATGTGTCTCACTGTTCATGTCCCGCTCCTGTGAGGTTCTTTTGTATTTGTCTCCCTAATGCCCCAAGGGAATGACACTGACACGGGGATTCAGTAAGAGATGGTCCGTCAGGTAGCAAAACCTGTATTTGTTCAAAGCCCTGAAGTGTAGAAGAGCACAGACTGGCAATATTTGATGGGGAATCACTGCAGGGAGATGCAATGTGGGATGCCATATACCCATCAGAGCACTTTTGCGTAAGCCTCTGTCACAGCTTTCTCCCTCAATATTGAGAGTCAGTCCCTGGAGCCTCAATGCGACCATAGCCAGAGGCAGTTCTGGCTGGCTTGGGTGCACTGCTTTAGCCAGCCACAAACTGAGGAGAGCATGTGTGTTCTTGGCACCTGCAGTGGTGGCCAAGTGCAGAGCTTGAATGGGCCCCAAGACTGCCACTGGACCTGCCAGCTGCTGGGCTTTGGTTCTCTGTACATCCTGCAAGAGCAGTGCTGAGTGCTGTGGGGTGGTTTTGTTTTTATTCTGCTGGCTCTGGAAGTCTTATCTTGGGAAATGCCAAACCTTTTTGATTCTCATGGGAACATGGGAATTGTCTGTCGGCACAAGAGACAACACACAACTGCTCCAGGAGTTCTGTGTCAAACAGACCTGGTCAAGTCCTGGACTGAGGGAGCTGCACTGGTGGGAGCATGATGGCCTTTGGAAGCTCTCTGGCCAATGACCACATCAGTTTCTCTATATGCAGGGCTAGTTTCCTTCCTCGGGAGAGCTCGGTGCTTACACCAGCAGCTTTGTAGACTCCAGGGGGAAAGAATGGTTAGGCTAAGGAACGGCTTTTCTCCACCTGATTCAGTCCAGGCCCAGTACTGATAGCTGAAGGAGGGCTGCGGGCAGCCCCCCTCCGCCATTGCTTCTGTAGGAGCTCTGTGATTCTTAGAACTCCCCTGAGTTTTGGGTTATCAAGCGCCCCTTGTTGCAGCTGCATCAGCTGCAGAATGGCTCATTTACCAGGCACAACAACGGGCTCCTGTTTGGGCAGGATTCCACTGGCAGTCCATGCCTGACCTGGAGACCTTTAACATTTTGGCTGGCAGACTAGTTGTCTATGCCCTGCTTGGTATTTCCCTGTAAAATATGCTCTAGGTTGTCCGTCCTTTAGGAGACATTACCCTTCCTCCCACTCGTTCCTGAGTCCAAGAATCACTGTAAATGCTCTTAGCTGGAAGGTCCACCCCTTTCTGCAACGAGCATGCAAACCCACTACCTGCTGCTTGCTCACTGGACAGCACAGCATTCCAGCTCAGGAGGTGACTCTGAGGTCCTGCAGCTGGACACATCTGCATTTCCATCTTTGCTTCCTGGAGGGGACATTTTAAATGTACAGTGTAGCTGCATACTGCCAGCACCAACATGAGCAGGAGAGGCCCAAGATTTTGGGCTGCTTTGGGCTGGTATTTCCAGCAGATCCTCATACTGCTGCTTTTTGTGGCTATCTTTGCCTGCTGTTACTCAGGGATGAGAAGACATCCTGGAGGAGTTTGTGAATTGTTCTGATGGGAAGAGCACACTTGCCTATGCCTACCTTTTGATCTTGTTGATATTTTGATCTACTTCTTGCCTTTGAAATTACATGGAGTTTTCTTTTCCTCCTCTTTTTTAGAGAAAAACGTTTAGAGAGACATGGAGCTTGAAAGAATCATTCGAGACACACTGACATGCTTCATCCAGTCCCACAGCCCTGCAGCAGACCTCAGGTATGTTGAGATAGGAAGATCTAATATCATTGTTCTAGCTTGAACCCTGCATTAATTGTCCCTCAACACATTATACTGAACTCTGTAGCCTTCTTGTACTTCGTGTTGTTTTTCCTTAAGTCACATCCAGGATGCAGGTAATTTGCACAGGCAGTGATGGGAATGCTTGAACAACTATCGTTTAGCATTGCAATCTAGCAATGTCATTTCTTTGACGACTAAGATGATTAATTTCCTGTTCAGTAATACACATTAGCATATGGGATTCCCTTCATTCCACGGTGCCCCAAAAGGGCTTTCTGAGCAGTATAATGCCATGTCGGGGCTCTCCCTATTTTGAACTCTGCCTGCATGCAGAGATACAGTCACCTTCAGGCTGGAACGCAGCAGCTAGTTTTGCGGCCGGTGGCAGCAGTGACACAAGTGTGGAGAGCAGCAAGCAGAGAACACTGCATCCCACGGAAACTGCAACTTGACAGAATATGATGACCTCACCTGAAACACCAGTCAGCATAGAAAAGTCAGGGTTTGAGCACTTGGAATATTTTTATTAGCTCAGCTGAAGCACCTACAGGAGCACAGCCTCTAGGCACACACTGGGGCTTTCACTCAGTGCTGCCTAGGAAGCCGGACAGCATGCAGTATTTTATCCATAAATGCTTCCCATTCAACCACTGACCACCTGCTACCTGGCTTTACTGCTGGGATCTGCCCATAAGATACAGTCCACATAGATCCTTCTGCTGCTTTATTAGGAAGACACAAGGTTAGGGGAAATGGGAATGGAGAGAAAGAGAAAAAACGGGCCTGTTGACCCTGCTGCCACGTCCTGTGTTCTCTCTGTCACCAGTGGGATGGATGATGTTTTCTTCTCTTACATCACGGGTGTCCTGGAAGAGCTAGGCTCACCAGAGTCCTCCGAGGAGACTTTTGACATGGACACCTTTGTGGAAATGATGGAGGCATATATTCCTGGTTTTGCAGAAATCCATAGGTACGTGAATGTTACTGTTTTGTATGTGCATGCCATGCACTGGGGGCCTGGACCTGAGCCCCTCAGTACTATAAATTCTTTTGTTATACCCAGTTGAATATGTATTAGTACCAAACCTGTGCCATTATGATTCAGTCTTTGCCTGCATACACGGATGCTAATCCCAGTATAGTTTGCAAGTAGGTCCTTAGCCATCTGAAATACCAGTTTATTTTATTGGACTTCCCATCAAGCCTTGTTTTCTATAAAGAGGTAGACAAGTAGGATAGGCTACTGCTTTTATTCCTCACACTAATTATACCGCTTCTGTCTCTTGCAGCGGGGATGTTTGTGAAATGATGTTCTCCCTCTCAGAAAGGCTTGGTGAAGCTCGCAACAAAGGTGAGTTACACAGACAATTTCAGCACAAGATTGTATATTCTGCACGTGTTTTCAGTCTTAGTATTTGGAGTTGAGCAATGTCACAGGATAAAATACAATCTCGTTTGCCACAGTTAGGATCTCATAAGGTAGCCTGAAATGATTGACAATTTTTTTTTTTAATGTTCAGTTTGGTTTTTGATATCAACACATGGGAGGTGTGAGTCATATGGAATACTCTCCAAGACATACTGGGGTGAAAAACACTTGATCAGATCTCCAAACACCTCTGTTGAGATCAAATCCAGAGTAATAAGGAAGAAAGAGCAGATACAGGGCTGCTTGTTGAAATTCTACTGTAGGTTAATTCTGAAAGTGAGGATTTCTGCCTGCCTCTGATAGCCATCTGTCTAAGTGGCACTACTACTGGGCAGCCCATGTCAGATGCATCATCAAATAGAGAATCCAGCTGGTTATGTGTATCACTTCTAGTCTTTGAACATCCTCAAATCTCACTTCCAATTCACTCATGAACCCTGGCACAAATGCAAAATCAGCAATAATGTGCTCTGGCCTGCGTTATGCAGGACTGCAGAAGACTACACTATCCCCATGACCCTTTTTAACCTCAGCATTCACAAACCAGCTGGACTGCTATATTAATCAGCCCTAAAGATACTTCTCACTAAAGAACAGACAGGTGAAATGCCTGGATATTAAACCTTTCAGGACACACCGGTCTGGGTTTTGCTTATCTAGCAACATCACTGCTGTCTTGCCAGAAGGCTACACAGTGTAGAACAGACAGTCCTGTCTTTTATCTTACTTGCTGCTTTCTTGAACTTGACAAAATCTGCTGCTCTACTCTGGTCCCCTGCATCCTACCCTGTGAGGATCCTGAGGTAGCCAGACTGTGGAAGGGCAGCACCATCCCAGTTTTAGAGAGGAACAGAGGTGAAATGATTATTCTTACAGTGGCATAGAAAGAGCCTGTAAAGAAAGAAGCATCAGAGTAACCTGATCACAGGATGTGCTGGCTCACATACAGCCTGGGGACTACCAGAGTGTATTCCCAAATTTAAAATCAAACTCACACCTTAGTTCAAAGTTAGAACACACACCAGGGAATTCCTGGAAATGTAATAAAAATACTGTAAGCATCCACAGCCAAAGCGCTAAAGGGATGAGAATTGACAGGTAGAATTGAATTCGAAAGCATCCCACAGCCTGTAAGGCCTGGAAATACAGCGCTCAGGCACACCAGTGTGCACTAGCACTGCGCTCCTGCAGGTCAGCGTGAGCAGAGCTGCAGCTGTCCCTGCTGACGGCAGGAGGAACAGTAGTACTTCCCAGTCTTGTCACTTAAGAAGGGATTTGCTTTCGCACACACAATGCGCTAGCAATCTAATGCCAACAGAAAGCACAGAGCTCTAGCCTGAGTGGGACTGTTCCTCAGGAGATATCACTATGTCTTTAAGAAAAACCTGGCCAAAAGGCTGTGGAAAGCAGGAGTGAAGCACCCTCTGAAGACCTGACCAAGGGCCAAGAGCCTGGAGCTGGAGCCTGCAACGGGGAAAGGCTGTGCACTCCAACAGACGGAGCCAGGGCCCAGGTATGAGCACCCAACAGAGGAGCAGAAGCACTGGGGACAGTCACTGAGCACTAGCCTACCAGCACCACCTGAGGGCATTTTCTGGCTCTGGAAGGAATCACAGCATAGACTGTGACACAGCATCACTGGTGTCTGTGATCTCCTTCATTATATGGCCTGAGCAAGACTGTGTCGGTAAGTGGAGAAAGAAAATTATGTACTGACACAAGAGTATGAGCCACTGGAAAGGATGAGACAGAGCAATGGTTGAGCAAGCCTGTCCCAGTGCCCTCAGAAATCTCACAGCAACACCGTGGGGATGGCTCTGCAGCACTAGCCAGGCTCCACCCCATTTCACCCTGTTCCCCTAGCCTTAGGCTGCAGTTTGATCTGATCACCATTTCTCTCCCCAGCTATTTTGCAGTATCTGCACAGGAAGCAGTCACATCTGGGTATCAGTCCCAAAGATACCGGTCCCACCCTCGATGGCGCTCCATGCTGTGCCCTGAGCTATGCAGCACTGAGTCAGTGGCCCAGAGGTCCTGATCCTGCAGCACCATTCAGCATGACCCATGCTACAGGCATCGCAGCACCTCACAGATCCCTCCCAGCTCCTTCCCCCATGCTCTGCTTGCTGTTTCTCCAGTGCTGATCTCTTCCTGCTCTGCAGCGCAATCACTGTGTCCACAGCCTTCTAGCAAATGCTGCGGCCATGCTTCTGATGTAGCTGCAGATCACTGTTTAGCAGTCCCTTCTCTTTCTGATCAAAGCACGTACAACTTCACAAGGTGAGCAGGAGTTGAAGCATTCAAACCACAGTGTCCAGAAAGCTTACCCCTAAGGAGACACGTAGCACAGCCAGACAGATGAGCCAGTTCACGGCAGCCCTGCTTTAAAGAAAGTTGAAATACAGGGGAAGGAGATTAAGGAAGAGTGATGCTTTGTCCTTGTAAAGATACAATCCCGTTAGCTTCAGGAATGGGATTTAGTAATGCTTGTAAGGAGAGCGAGCCTTCAGCTAAGGCCAAGCTGAATTTCCCAACAATGCAAAACCAGAGAGGCCCTTTTCAATAGCCCTCTCCTCACTGTATACCCAACTTACCTCTGTCTATTGCTCCAACTAGGAAGGCGATGACTTGAAGGATGGGGTGGAGCTGCTACTGGAGATGTTCCCAGCCTGTACTGTGAGCCAGGCAGAGAAGGCACTCGCCATGGCCCTGGGAAACTTGGAGGAGGCAGTGCAGTTAATTGTGGAGGAGAAGGTGGAAACTGGCCCAGCAGGTGCGAGTGTGAAGGTACTGTACTCTGAGCTGGGTGGCAGAGGGCTGAGGAGCAGGGCAGAGCTCAGGGACACACAGGTGTCCCAGCTGTCTGCTGCAGGCAGAAGCTTTGACTGCAAGAACTTTCCACGCAATGAGCCAGGAGGATCACCCAGAACAGCCCTTCTCCCATCCTTGGCTCTCTCTGTACAGGCTGTGCCCAGAGTCGAGCCAACAACCCAGCAGAGCTGGGCTGGCACCCTCCTTCCCGCAAGGGCTGGAGTGCTCCACCAGCAGCTGGGCTCACCGAGCTAGGAGGGGGGTACCTGTACTCCCCACCTGTTGTGCTACTTATGCCCCCACCTTGTCTCCTCCCAGGAACTGGCACGGCCCCGCAGAGCACCCAACCACGAGGAACTAAAACAGGTTATCCTACAGAAGTAAGTACCCAGCAGTAAAGAACCCTTTATTCTGCTCCCAGTAAAGGATGAGGTGGCAGTTTGGGGAAGGTCAGAAGGACGATGTGGTCTATAAAGAACTTCGGGTGTATGATGCTTAGTAAGGATGCTGTGAAGCTGATTTGGGTATAGCTGAACACGTCTAAGCACAAATACAGTCATCAGGTGGGGGAAAAAAACAGGTTTAGGTTTCTTTTAGAGCTCTGGCACAGGAACAGGTTACCTGTACCAGCCGAGTCACAGCGCTGGCTGCGTGTGAGGTTTCAGCTTCCTACAGTTACAATATAAATCACAGTACTGTCAGCTGAGGTCCCACTTAAAGGTTCAAGGCATAAACGTCATGCTGCAGCTCAGATAACACATGGTGACTTGCAGAACTACAGCAACTCATTCATACCTCCATCCTTGGAGACAGTCCAAACAAGGCTAAAAGCATCTTTAAAGAGACTGCCTGTACAGCAACACTGGGAAGATTAAATCTCAGCTGCTGAAGGTATTAATACAATGCATTTAAAGAAACCTCTCTGAAGTCCCCCTATAGACTTCTTGGGAATGAAAGTGGCTTTAGATTAGTTTACCTTTATTCATTTCCAAAAGTATTTACTTCTCAATAGGAGGACCACACTGTGGTTTCATTGATCTGCTTTAAGACCTCAGCTTTGATGAATATCCTGCAGGCATGCAGATTCCATATGTCTATCCAGCCACATCTTTTCTACCACTTTACATCCTCCCCAGTGACAGAATAAACAGTCGATGGGCTAGAGAAGATAAAGCAAGGCACAATGGCATCCAAGCAGAATTAGCAATCCCTGTCCTTGCCTGTCTTCTGTGTAGGCTTGTTTCAGTCACATGCAAGGGAACAAAAAAAGCACCAGCTGCTAGTTATGTTTCTGGGAACTTGACTTTAATGACATTTTGGCAACATCCTGTACTTTAAACATCACTCAAGCACAGGTAGAAAGAGGAGATCACCATAGCTGAAGATACACATGAGCAACTATACTAATTTCTGAGGGAGAAGTCATGGTCAGCTGTACTGTCCATCTGCTAAACCAGCACCAAAATCTCAAGAGTAGTAACTCAGCAGTACAGCAACCAAATGCTTGGGCCCTGATGTTTCAGTCACATAGGGAATGAGGTGATGCTTTTATGAAGCTGCTTCCAGCACAGACCTGTTTCATAGTCAGGTAGTAGGTGGAGTGTGAAAGGAACACCATCTCTTCAGGGCAGAAGCAGCCAGCTTGGTCCTGTAATCTCACCTCTGTCTCCTTTGGCTGCCATCACTGGGACTGAGAAGGAGCAAAGCTGCCCCAGTAACAGAGCACGAGACTTCAGCCACTCTCAGTTCTGCAGTGGCTACTAGCATTCTCAACAGCCTGAGTTTTCAGTACCTTTCACATACAGCCAAAGATGCTACTCTAGGAAAATCCTGATGGATTCTCACCAGAAGGGTGACACCCTTCTTGCCCGTTTCATCTAGAGGGGAATGTTAAGTGCTCCTAGCTGCAATCTAGGCAAGTAGGACACACTGCACAGCCACAAACCAGCCAGGGGAGAAAGGACATGGGCTGTCAGAAGCCGCAGGCAATGCATGTTTCAGTGTTCACTAAATGCTTCCTGTGTTTCAGATACATGATGGTGGATAGTGCAGATGATCAGAAAACACATCGGCCAGCTCCACCCAAAGAGGTAAGAAGAGGGGTCCCAGCTCACCGGCAGTTTGAATGTCCTTTGGCTACAAGGTTAAAAAATCAGGCTGCAAGTCCAAAAAAGCAACAGGCAGGCCAAAGGCAGGACCACCGTTCACAGAACCTGCTAGCCAGCAAAGAGGGAAGATTAGCTTATCTAAGGTGCTGCAGGGTCTGTCAGTTCCTATCATTCCTGACTAGCATGGCTCCTGCTCCCTCCCATGAGACAGCTTCCTTCCCAGTTTTGGCCAAGATTCCCAACACAAAGGATGGGTAAAGCAGCCCACCCCAGTCTTCCTGCACCTACCCCCACAGAGCACAGCTCTGCTTCTGCTTGTCCCCTCCCTTTCCCTAGCAGCATGGCTGTCCATCCACTCAGTGTTAATGTCTTTCCTCTCCAGGCTCCCAAGAAGTTGATCCGCTATATTGATAACCAGGTGGTGAGTACAAAGGGAGAGAGGTACAAAGACATCAAGAAGCCTGAGAGCGAGGAGATGAAGAGAACCTACATCAGCCTCAAACCAGCCAGGAAGTACAAGTTCCACTGACAGCCAGGTCTTCCTGCTCTTCAGCCTCCACCTTGCTGGCCAGGCATGGCAGGATGGACACGTGGCACTAGGGATGACGGAGCTCCTCTACCTGCCGCTAACTGGAACTAACCTGGGAGCCAAGACATTGCTTTCAGCTTCCTCAACTAACCCGGTTGACAAGGAGACTTCTCTCTTTGTGTAGCTGTCCCTCTGCCCCCAGGGGCACACTGCAGTGGCTTTCCAGGGCCTGGGCATTCTCTGCTATTCCTTGCATGAGACATTTTTAGATCTAAGATGTGGCTTGTGCTTTTGCCGCAAGCTTTTTACAAGTCTGTGTGCACTGTTGCTTTAAATTGGGTGCCTGTGTTAATAAAGATGATGTGAGTTGGTGTGTAGTTCAGCCAGAGCATGCACATGCTTTACAGACACCGCCTCCAATCCCTCCTGAGGTCAGAGATAGGAGCAGGGTCATCCTCTCTTCCCTTAATTACTCTCTTCATGATACTCACCACAAGATGTGGCTGCTGTTTGGTTAACCACCTAGCGGATCCAAGGGCTGAGGCTGAACTCCAGACCAGAGCTAGGCTCTCCCTGCCAACACAGCCTGCATCACTGCATAAACTCCAGCTGTCAGCATGGCCAGGGCTCCTGGCATTTCTCACCACTGTTGAGTGCCAAAGGTCCAGCCACGCCACACAGCAGGATATAGTAGCAGGCCTGGGTGCTACTGAAATGTTAAGTCAGATGCTGGAAGAAACAAATGGCAACGACTAACTGCTTTCAGTGACAGCATAGCTAGGTTTGGTGTTTTTCTGTCAGTGAAACTGCAGTCAGGAGTATGTTCCCCCTGAAAACAACTCCCACGTTGCACTAGCCTAAACCAGCGCCTTAGGCCTGAACAGACATACTGCTTGCGCCGGGGCCATGCCAGCCCTTTGGTGCCAGGCTGGCCAGCGGCCACGGGGTGGAGCTGAGCTCACTCCACCCTCCTCCCGGAGCCCAAGGGGGCCTGCCCTGTCCCAAGAAGGCTGGCAGCTTTTCTCCTTTCTGCTCCAGCCGGCCTGGTTTGTTCCACAGCTCTGCTGGCATGCCCTGCACACCCACCCCAGGGGACAGTCCCCAGCAAACATTCTCCTGCTTTCTGGACAGCTGCCGCTTAGAGATTTAAAATACAACAAATAATAAATCCTATCTATTAGCTGGCCTGGCCACGGCCTGTTCAGCACCATGGTGTTCCTGCAAGTCACGCGCACTCTCCACGCCACTGCAGAGGGAGTTACTTTCCCTGGAGGCACCGACGAAGCCTACTCACGAACACCCAGTGGCTGCTAAACAGCCTCAGAGGAAAGAGGGAGCCCCACTCGGGCCAGCCTCACCAATGGGACCAACCTCTCCCTCTGCACATCTCCACAGCAGCCAGTTCCGGCATCTTCACGGGATCCCAGTGTTGCGTCGGTCCCCCTTCTCCCTGGCAGCAGCAGTTCTAGATCTGGAGGTTGATGAAAGGGGCAAAGCCAACCACGTCCTGCAGGAGAACAAGAGCCCTCTGCAGCGGAGGCTCCACATCCAGCTCCACCCCACGGCTTCGGAGAATGCTCAGGCTGGACTCGGCCACGTTATGGCAATGCTTCACCTTCAGCGAGCGCAGCTTGGGACAGTACTCAGCCAGGACCCTGCCAAGAAAGGGAGCACATGCAGGTTGCAAGCCAGAACTCCTAAGTGCACCACTCACCCTCTTCTCTACTCCCAGCAGCCCAGTGCTCACGGCTGTGCCACACATGCGCCATCCTTTGAGAGCAACACCCTGGTGGTCCACAAGAAACTCAAGGGACATTGCTGGATCCCAGACCTACCCTCCATGACATGCTGGGAAACTGGCCATTAGTAGCACACAGTGCCTCTCCTGAAGGGCCTGCAAGATGGGCTTCTCCCCTAGACTGAGCTCTCAGTGCTTTCAGCATGAGGAAATCTGACTTTTCTCTCTGGTTCTCTTCCTCTCCCCACCCCAGACACCTGCCATCCCCACATTGCTCAGTACCTGATGGAGTCATTCTTGACTCGCAGACACCCCGTGAGGTCCAGGTGCTCCAGCTCGGGGCAGCACTTGGCAATCTCCTCGATGGCCACGTCACCCACATTGGCGTTGACAGCCAGCGACAAAGACTTGAGCCTGCTGCACTTCTGCACCAGGTAGCAGATGGCCTCGTCCTTCAGCTGGCGGCAGGCCGTCAGGTCCACAGCCTCCAGCGCCTTGCAGTGGTCAGCCAGGCTGCGCAGGGACAGGCTGTCCACCCACTCGCAGTGAGCCAGGGAGAGCCGACGCAGGTTGGGGCAGCTCAGCGAGATGGCCACCAGTGCGTGGCGGCTGAGCTGGGCACAGCCCTTCAGCTGGATCTGGTGCAGGTGGTGGTTCTGCCCGATGACCGGGAGCAGCTCCCTGTCTGTCAGCCAGTCGGAGCAGTTCTGGAGCGCAAGCTGCTGCAGTACTTCGTTGTCCTTCAGCAGGTTAATGAAAGCAGCTCGAGGGATGGCAGGTCCGATCTGCGTGAGGAACCCAGGAAGAATGAGGCATTCCCCAGGGTTTCAGATCAGCCTGATCCTCACCAAATACTCTCTCTCCTCCTCTCCCACTGAGACAGTGGTGACCAAAGCCACCCCCTCTCCTCATCCCAGGGCAAACCCTGCCAGGCTCTCCTCTCCCCTCATGCCAAGGCTACTGCCACAAGCTAGAAGATGCTTTGGCTTCTCCATCCCCCATCATTACCCCTGCATTTACATACTCATCATGAGCTCCACACCTCTGCTCTACAAAAACTCTTTGCTACACCACTCTGTCCTCACAGAACAGCAGCTATTCCTGCCTTTCCAAGTCCCAGGTAGTGTCTCCCAGGGCCAGCACAAGCTTTCCCTGGAGACCAGGTACAGAGTTATCTCCTGTCAGATCCACCCTATTGCACAACCTCTGTGAGGACTGACAGACCATGCCACTCCAGACCTGGCTTGTGTTTCTGCCAGCCGGTGCCCCATAATGGCCTGGGTGGAGCTTCCTGGCTCACTCCTCCCAAGGCCTCTTGCTAAAGACACTGGCATTGCTGGGCCCTGAATCACCGCCTCTCCTCCCTGAGCCCATCTTAAACGGAGGTTCTGAGCAGAAACCATCCTCCTCGCCAGGGGTTTCTTTTCCCCACATAGTCAGATGCTCCCCTGTTAGCTCCAAAGCAGTAGGACATCTGTGTCTCCCCCAGCCTCAGAGCCATCCAATACCTGGCTTGAGTCAAAGCAGCGCATGTTGGCCAGGTACAGCTGGATGAGAGACTGGAACGACTTGCTGACCCTCTGCAGGCTCAGGAGCTGCTGCAGTGGCAGATGACAGAGGATATGTGGAACCAAGATGTCTTCCCAGGGCAGGTCCAGGAGGCATCCCCTGGAGGGGGTCAAACTCATCATCAGACCCCAAGAAGCCAGGGTACAGTGGTAGCCAGGTCAGATCACCTCACACCTACTGCCAGGTGCCTCTAGGAGGAACAGCCAGAAAGAAAGACTCAGCACATCTCCCACAGTCAGCCCACAGGGTAAAACGCCTTGGCTAGCCATCAGCAGGGCACACACCTGCCACCTGCGTCACCTCCTCCCCAG